GACAGGGGCAGCCCTCACCAAGCCGAACCCCAAAAACCCACCGCCCCCGCGTGTAACATCACGCCACTCGGGGCGCTGGGGCCCCGGAGCTCAGCGCAGGCCTACGCCGGGAGAGCGAGCCAGAGGAGACCGCCCAGCCCTTCCCCACAGTCACTAGCTGACGGATTCCGGGATCTTCCTTCCAAGAAACAGCTGGGACTGGGCGGCTTGTTCCACACTCCCACCACCCTCGACGTAAAGAACCGCCTCTTGTTCCTGGTTTCAAGAACACTTCCATATAGCCATACCCGGAGAACATGGGAACATGTATAGAACAGCTCTTCTTCCCTGGCCTGGACCCAAGAAACGCAGGCACTGTATTTAGGCTCACTTACAGTGCCTGGGGAAAACAAGAAGCTTTTAATAGCGTTAAGCTTTTCTTCCCCAGAAGGACCAGTGTCCTCGTACCTCCTGCGCGCTGGACTGGCGCAGGAGACGCCAGGAGGTGGACCGGCCACCGGACCGGGACACGCACCGCCCCCGGAGCCCACCGGCCAGCGGAAACGGCGGAACCCGGGACCGAAGGACGGGCACCTCAACCCTCTGTCGCTGGGCAGTGGGCTGAGGGCGGACAGGGCAGGACAGGCCGATGGCAGCCTGAGAAAGGTTACAGAGGAGGAACGAAAATCAAATCCCATCAGACAGCGGGGCTTTACGAGCGCATTACAGAGGGATCCAGATTCCCACGGGATACGGAACTGGATACGACAGCGGCGCAGCGGGACCACCAATATCCCCACGCCACGCGGAAAACCCGAGAGTGGACTTTCCCCGGTAAAAACACGGAGACCAGAGACCCCTCCGACTCCGACAGACGGAGGCGGCCACCAGCACGGCCCCGTGACGCACACAGACTCCCGCTTCCGATATTTACTTAAGTTTGAGGTGTTTTTTGTTTTTGACCGACTCCCAGCCGTGGAGCCTGGCTTGGCAGGCGAGAGTTTTCAAGATCAAATTACTATTTTGTTTTTTTTAAAAAAAAAGAGCGAGGAGACCGCTGTATACCTGTATAAAATGTAAAACGAATAGCCGCTTTTGGCAAATACCGAAAGCAAAATCAGTTTGAAAAGAACGACCAACTAAGTTTAACATCCCTGAGTGCGGCACCGCGATAATATTACTTATTATTCCCCCACAAGTCCGACATCAAACTCGCAAAATAAAAAGTTAAGGCGTTCGCAGGAGGAAGGCCTTCGATTGCGATACATCGTATCGTTCATTTTTTTTTCC